CACCTTGCTCGAGAACGAGAGAATAAAAGTAATTGAATTAGTTAGAAGATTGGCTCGCTAATTTATTAGTTTGACGGTCTGAAAGAAAGTTGGGTTTTAAGAAAATTAGTTTAGGTAGCTATTTCTAAAAGTATATGTATTAATTTTCTTAAAATATTTATATTTATTTTGGGAACTATTCTTATTTATAAAAACCGAATTTAATAAAAGCCATTAATATGAATGATTTTAAAAAGTTATAAAGATCTGAATGATTTTAGAAAGTTACAAAACTTTGAGATAAAATAAATTGATACTACCTCCGGTTATTAATATAAGACATCGTTTGACTTTTATTTTGATCCTAAAATAATATCCCAATCTATCCTGTTTCTTGTATTTATTTATTTTTTTTCAAAATAGTCCTTATAATAATGATAGTTATAGCCAATACATTTAATTAACAAGAATATTTTAGAAAAAATAACACATATTTATTACAAATAACTAACTTAACTGGTTTTATTAATCTACCCAAATTAATCAACTAACTCTTATATTAAGGATTGGAGGTAATATTTTATATTTATAACCAAAATAAGTTCTCAGCTAGCTCGTGTATTTGATCCGGCAGCATGTAGTTTGCACTCAAATTTGGCTTAGCTGACCTAACAAATTGTAGTCAACCGACCAAAAGATGTAACTTGCGGATGCATTTGAATTTGTCAGCCAGACTCGTTGTTGACTTCTGCTAGATGAACTGATTATTTTGACCAACTAAAAAACAGCCTAAGCTATGTGCCGGGAGAAAAAACAGCAGAAGAAACAACTCAAATTCCCTATCTTATTGAGATAGAATTTAAAAAAGAAAGTCTTGTTATATTGTTTATAGGATTAAGGTTTAAAAACTACTTGGTCAAGCTGTCTTTTGAAAAAAGTTGTTTCCTAACTTTGAGTAATATAGTAGGTCCTCATAGGATCTAATTTGTTGTGTAATTATTACCAACTATATCTTATATTGGAGATAAGGGATACGTATGAGTTTATTAGACATGGTGACGGTTAAGTGCTTATTTGGAACTGCTTTATAAACATTTATAAATAAGTTTATATAGGTCGAGATAAAATTATTTTTATATATTTGTCATTGAGGAGATGCTTTTGAAGGGTCATATAACCATCTTGTAGCACAAAATTAAAAAAGCAAACTAACTACAGATATATCTGGACAGTCTTAAAAAAGGAGCTGCAATTACATATTCTGTTAATTAAAAAATGTAAGAGTTTTGATTTTAAAGGATTGCGGGCAGAGTAATACAGGTTCTACATGCTATCCACAGTTCCATGCTGATTTGTGATTATCATATCTCCAATTAACTAAATAGACATCTGTGATATATGTTATTTCAAATGAGTTGTAATCTAACTATGTATTATTAAATTATTTTTTTAAAGACTAAAGTATACATTTGGTCGTTTAACTTTATACAAGGTTTCAATTTGATTCCTTAACTTTAAAAAACATATATTTGGTCCTTTAACCATAAAATCATTAGGCTTCAATGATAATTTTTTGTAACAATCATAAATATTTTAAAAATTAAACTTAATATGTTAGCATTTGAGAATATTTTATCAACATTTAAGATCTTAATGTTATCATTTTTTTAAAAAAATTTAGGATTAAATGACTAAAAGTATACTTTTTAAAGTTAAGGGACCAAATTAAAATCCTGTGTAAAGTTATATGACCAAATATATATTTAATCTAACTATCATTTCCTTATTTTGCACGGAAAGGGGAAGGGTAAGAGAGATTATGCCAAAACTCACCAACACCATCTTTTTTTTTTTTTTTTCCAAAAAGAAGAAGAAGAAGAAACTAATACGACAGTCCTTATAGTTTTATTGGATTTTGAATCAGGTCCTTGCAGTATTTTTTTCTTTTTATTTAATCCTTACTATCTGCTTAACTATTTTTTAACTATTTTTGTTAGTCCTTCCATTAACATAAGCCGTTAACTGATGTGGCATTACATTGAGCACAGAAAGGATGTCCAAAACCCCCTTCTCTCTCAGCTGCTTTTGCTCTTTCTCCGGCAAAGTACAAGAAATAACGTTTGGGTCCTCCATGACCCAATGGTCACTAATCTCTCATTCATCCCTTGAAGCTCTCCGTCCAACATTTTCTGATCTTCCTTCTACCTTTCTATTTCCATCATCAACGCTTCGTCCTCCAAAACTCTACGTATTCTTCCCCCGAAACAAGAAAAGCGAGTATTTACAGAGCCTAAAAATTTGTGGCAATGGTGGGGTGCTGACAATGGTGGATCTGACACCTCTTGTAGCGAAAAATTCTAGCCATATCAACTATTTTGGTATAATGTGGCCATGACCAATGACTGGGAGGAAGAATATGTGCAGTTTGTGATTTTTGCTATTCATTGTTTTGGATTTTGCAGATAATGGGTAGTGACAGAGAAGAAGTTTCAGGACAAGAGCAAGTTCATAGGTATGAAAAGATGGACAAGGAAAATTAAGAAGATGACAACGAAATGTTTCAGAGTGGAAGTGAACGAGAAATGGTAAGTTGATTGGTTTGTCTTGGAAGAATGTTTTGCTCTCACATAGTAGAGAGCCTTTTATGAAAGTGTTCTTTCTCGTAATTTTGATGGAAGAGAGAGTAGAAGCAAGTGGGAGAGAAGAGGTGGTACGTAGAATCATGCTGTCCTTTTATGTGCTTAATCCGTTTAAACTAACATTTTATACTAATAGAAGGACTAACAAAAATAGTTGGGTAAATAGTAAGGATCGAATAAAAAGAAAAAAATTACAACGACTTGATTTAAAATCTAATACTCCTCCAATTCATTTGGTATTGTAAATTACACTACAAAATGTTATTTATATTTAGGATTGGAGGGAGTAAACCTATAAGGACTGTCATATTAGTTTTTCTAAGAAAAATTGTGAAAGTTATATCTTTAAACCTTCTTCAAAATTCATTAACGCCCTTCACGTCCACATTGATAACTGAATATCTAGCTTATCAATAGTATGATGTAAAATGTAAATCACTGTAAATCACTTTATTTTATAAATTACGAACATTACAGTTTAATTTATTAATTTTGCAAGAAGAAAAAGGACTGAAAAATGACAAATGAACTTCATAATGCTAAAAAAGTCTACTGAATTTGAGAAATCCCAATTTAGTTTCAAGAGACTAATTGGACATTTATAAGTTTGCTGAAATCACCATATCGTCTTTCATTTTATTTATGTTTTTAAAATACCAAAGCCCCCACTGGCTGGCTGGTCACTGGAGCTCTGACCGCGGCAGTCACTGGAGCTCTGACAATCGGTTGATAATTGGTCACTGGAGCTCTGTCGGTCGAAAACAATTTTTTTAAAATTTTTTACAATTTCAGTATAACGGTTAACAACTTTTGTAACGCTATTAACAACTTTAGTATGGCAATTAACAACAGATTTTCTGAGAAATTCAACAAGCTCCGGCGGGTGGAAACAATTTTTTTGAAAATTTTTACAATTTCAATATAACAGTTAACAACTTTTGTAATGCTATTAACAACTTTAGTATAGTAGTTAACAACAGATTTTTCGGGAAATTTAATAGTTTCGGCGGCTGAAAACAATTTTTTTGAAAATTTTTACAAATTCAGTATAGCGGTTAATAACTTTTGTAACACTATTAACAACTTCAGTATAGCAGTTAATAACAGGTTTTTGAGGTTGTTAATGGCATTACTGAAGTTATAAAAATGCTACTTTTTGAATTTTTCAAAAAACCTATTGTTAACTGTCATATCAAAGTTGTTAATAGCGTTATAAAAGTTATTAATTGTTGTGTTGAAATTGTAAAAATTTTAAAAAAGAAGTAGTTGTTAAAGTTATAAAAATGCTATTTTTTTTAATTTTTAAGAAAATCTATTGTTAAATGCTATATTGAAGTTGTTAATAGAGTTACGGAATTTGTTAACGACATTATTGAAGTTGTAAAAATGCTACTTTTTAAATTTTTCAGAAAATTTGTTATTAACTGCTATATTGAAGTTGCTAATAACATTATAAAGTTATTAATCGTTATACTGAATTTGTAAATTTTTTTTTAAAAGTAGCTGCTAAAGTTGTAAAAATGTCATTTTTCTGAATTTTTAAGAAAACATGTTGTTAAATGTTATACCAAAGTTGTTAATAAGGTTATGGAACTTGTTAATGGTATTATTGAAGTTGTAAAAATGCTACTTTTTAAATTTTTTAAAAAACATGTTGTTAATAGCGTTATAAAAGTTGTCAACTATTAAAATTTTTAAAAAAATTGTTTCCGGCCGCTGGAGCTCTAGCGACCAAATTGTTAAATTTCCCGAAAAACCTGTTATTAATTGCTATACTGAAATTGTTAATAGTGTTACAAAAGTGATTAACTATTATACTGAAGTTGTAAAAATTTTCAAACAAAATTGTTTCCGGCCGCTGGAGCTTGTTGAGTTTCCCAAAAAAATGTTGTTAATTGCGTGACAAAAGTTGCTAACCGTTATACTGAAATTGTAAAAATTTTCAAAAAAAATTGTTTCAGACTGGCGGAGCTCAGGTGACCAATTATCGGTCGGTCACTGACCAGTGGGGACTTTGGTATTTTAAAAACAATAAATAAAATAAAAGACAATATGGTCATTTCACCAAACTTATAAATGCCAAATCAGTCTCTTGAGATTAAATTAGAATTTTTCAAATTAAACAGATCTTTTTAGCATTATGAAGTTGATTTGTTATTTTTCTATCTTTTTTCTTTTCCGATAAATATGCCACAAAGTTTGAAGGTAATCAAATATAAATGTCGAAAATTTCAGCAAAATTGTAAAATGAAAATGTAAATCTGTCTGACGAGGCACAATGGGACAACGACAGCGTGGCACTGCCTTGGCGCCCCGCCCCGCCAAACTATTCATTTCCGACCTTCCGTCGTTTGTCGTCCAGACCTCAGTCTCCCCCTTCCACTGCTATACAGGGTCTTCTGTAGTCAAAACCCTTAGCTTTCCCGCCATTATCCAGTAAATAATCAAGAAGCACCGGTAGAAGCCCTAGCTTCTAGATTAGCCGCGTAAGCCTGTCTGGTCTTACGCTCGAGATTTATGACTGTCCCAGTGCATCGTGATAATGGCGACTGTCCGTTCTAGAGACATACGAGAGATTGTTGAGAAGCTCTCTTCTGATAAAGCCAAAGCTCGCGAAGTAACCTTCATTTCCTTCATTGACTATAAATTTGTCCTTGTTTATTTAATGAGAATATCCCGATATAAAATCACCCAATGACTGAAGCTATAATACTTTTTTTGAATCGGCTATTACGGATGGAAATTTCGTTTTTTCTGTTATCAGAGCTTAAATTTAATATTGGAAATTTTGAGTTTGTTCCACCCGTCTAAGTGGTCCAAGCAACGTAGTATCAATGCCCTTCTCTGAGCTCCACGTAAAACGACCTAGCGAGTAGTTGCGATAAATTGAACCTGAGAGAAATGGAGATTGAACTGAGGGGGATAGCTTCCTTCTTCCTCAGGTCATGCTACTCAATAGTCTGTGGTTCGATGTTATAATTCAAAATTTCTGGGGCACGTTAATCTGGGTTGAATGACACCTTGCTGTATGTCTTGTTTATTTTCCCATAACTATGTGATAACTCTATAATTATCTGAATGTTAAAATGCATGCCATGCAATATGTCATTTAGTTATGAATAACCAGATGATCTTTGTTTACTACTGGGCTAGGCTTACGGTATACTATATTTTCCAATGATCATGATCCGCATTTGATTTTAATATGTGCTGACATATTTTGCTTTATCAGGAGGGGATCAAGTTGCTGAATACTTGGTTAGAAGGAGAACGATCATTTAACTTCTGCAAATTTCTTGGGCAGAGTTCTGCAATGCTTAGACCAGATGAAATTCCTCACTGTAAGACAATTTTCTTGTATAAACTCTAGATAGTGCTAAACGCTATGGTTTATTAAAGCCAGCATGTAAATTTTAGAAGTGACACTTAATTTATTCTTCATTTTTGAGGTGCAGCTGAAACATGGCCTTTTCTTATTTCTTTGCTCATCCAATGTACTTCGTTGGAAATATCCTTAAGTAAGCGGCAAATGCCAAAAATGATTTATGCAAAGACTCTTAGAGTGGTTGTGCAACGAGCAGAAGATGCTAAGTATTCAGGTGAGTTATTAGTAATGTAGTTGTTCGCATACTTTTCTTCTTCTTTTCTCCTTCCTCCTTTTTGATTACAAAACACAAGAAATTAAAATCTAAAATTGAGTGCAATCGAAAGAAGGGGACCAATCCTGGGAAAGAAATAACATTTATGGGTACACATGATGTTCTACTTAATATTTGTACTTGATGAATAGAAACAAGCAGTTGATTTGTTTTTATATTTGGGTTCTTACCATGCAATGCTTGTCAAATTAACTGCCAGTTTCTGTTGGGCTGATGCGCCAGCTGAGTGGGTGTGCCAGGTATTTAAAAAGAAAAGATGCATAGACCCCAAAACTTTTAAATGAACGAAACACATCATTCCAAGCTTTTTGCTGAAATCACAGATCTTGAAGTCTTTTTGCTTCAACTTCCAACCTGGAAGTTCATGGCAAAAAGCTGAGAGATGAATGACACAATAACCTGTTGGGACTAAAACTGCTGTTCTCAATAAATTTTCTGTCATTTTATGGTAGGTAAAATGCTGCCTTTATCACATGTGGTTAAATCCCTTTTCAACCACGTTTGGGATGTCTTGAGCAATGTCCCAAGCTTTCAGTCAGAATATGGGATTATCCTTCGGCATCTATTGGCGGTCAAAGATTATAGTTTGCAAATGAAGAAGCGCATTTACCGAAGTAATTTTTGTCCCCCCTCAACTTCAAGCTTTCAGTTTTTACCATGTCTGAATGACGTAATCTTTCTTAAACATAGTGCTCTTACCTTATATATTACGTCAATTTCCTATTGCAAGATTTGGTGCTTCTTTACATTGAGAATGTTGAAACAAGCTTGAACGGGAATATTATTCATCACATTTCGAAGGAGGAGGTTTTTCGGTACATCCTGACACTTCACTCACTTCTTGAAAATCCTCCTGGTGACTACCCTAATAATGTCAGGGAAGACATTATCAAGGGGTTTGTCAAGATATGCTCTTATATCAGGTACATCATTGGGTATTCTAATGTACATGTGTATTTGTGTGCGTGTGTGCTTTTACCCCACCATTTTATCATCTGCCAGAGTACCTTTTGTCTTTTGTTCCTTTTACTTTAGGGATGAAGGAAAGATTTCACGCAAGCTTGTTGAGTGTATTAATATATATTTGTTGAATGATGGCCCAAATTTGGGCTGTCGATTGTTGGAGATCCATAAGGCATTGCGGCAGTTTGTGTTCCGCTTCTGGCTGACAACACACGATCGAGTTCTTAAGGTCCCATATTGTTGCAGTCTGCATGCAGTTGCTTCTACCGCAGCTCACCTCTTGAGATTTCACATTACTCTTTTCATACTTCCACTGCAGGATGCACTTATGTTCTATGCAAAGTTACAGTTAAATTTACTGAGGAGTGTTGATGATGAATGTTCATTGGTAGAACAACTTCTGGATGTGGTTTGTAAAGATCTTGATCAGGGCAGTATGTCTAGTTCTTCCATTCCTTGGTGAGTTTTTCTATTGTTTCCCATTTTACTAATTTAATTATTATTTGTCAAGCTATTAATGGTGATCTATATGATCTTTTAATCCAGGAGTGATGGTAATAAAGACGATAGATTTGGAGCCTTGAGTAGCTCACACTGTGGATTGGTGGAACTTGCAGCTGTTATATTTTATAGGGTAGTCACTGAACGCTCTGCAATTGTTTCTTGAAGTTGAAACATAGTCTCTGTGGTCCATTCTTTTTCTACTATGAGAATTTCTAGACTGCTTGCTAATATGATTATTCCTTAGGCTTGTCTCAACACAACACAAGCCGTACTAACTGAAAAACGAGTTAAGAAGGAGCCTCCTGCTGTGCTTCTACGGGATGCACTCATGAATGGTAAATGGTTGTGGTAAGTTAGAAACTAGTTTATGAGTTTTGTTCTATAAGGCACTGTGTAACATGTCGTATGCTAACTTTGATTTGAAAAACTTCTTAATCATGTGTTTATCACTGCATTATGCTTTTGAACATGGGTCCTATATGTCATTCACCTCTGATGTATATGGAGCTGTGCTATGTGTGATGCTATTTCGCGCAAATGGTTGAAGTTGAAATGTAAGCACTTTATAGAATATATATTTTTTGCCATCACTGTTTTTATGCTCTAAAGTGATGTCTTCTTAACCTCTTTATTGTACTTGGTTAACAGTGATCTTAGAAAGGTTTTATTAGTTAACATATAGCTACATTGATGAGCTAGGTCTGGTTGATGCGCTTAGTTACTTCAGATTATGTATTTATTTAGTTTCTGATGAGAAATTATGCAAAATCTATTCTTGGCATAGGAAACTCTAGTTTAGAGATATTTTAGTTTGAAGTATTTTCTGAGTTCAATTCATTTATTTAATTTTCAACTTCTATTTATTTTTTTTCCGTATATTTTGGGCTCCTTATCAATAGCTCTTCATAGTGTATCTTTCAGACTTGCTGAAGATATCAATTTATTTTGTCCGTTTTCTCTCCTTACTTCCTTCCTCTCTCTTCGTCCTCCCCTTGCTCCTTTTCATCAACCGTTCTGCATCAAATTCTTTCTGAAAGAAACCTCATCCTCCTTTTACTTATTTTCCTCTCTAATAAGTTTCTTCATTTTGAAATAATGTAACAAGGAGATAACGCATTGGTTTGATGATTAATTGTTTGCATGTATTATGTTTCTTGCATTTAAACAACTTTAGGTCCTTCTCTTATATGGCAGATTGTGTTGAAAATTTTGAATGGAACATCCAAAAATCACATAAAATTTCTGTTCTGGTAACTCTGAAGAATTTAGTTTACAAACCTTGATATTCTTTCTGCCAAGGATTTGAATTGTGTCTATATCATGCTTTTCCTTTTCTTTTTCACCATTCTTATTTTTCATGGGTCCATTATGATATTTTCTTACGATCAATAGCTAAGTCCTTAACACGATGCATAAATTGCTTTCATTATAATGCACTTAATTGATGGGCATCATCACATGGCGGTTAAGAATCATTTGAGGATTGTTAATAATTGTTAGGAAGAGCTCTACACTTCCATTAATACAAATAGGATATATATGTAATGTCGTGTGTGTTAATTAAATACTTTTCGTTTATATTTACCATGTGTCAGGCATTGTTAATATGATTGTCATCATACCATATCCTCATTGAGAATCTGTGCTACAGGAGTGCTGCATTTTGCTATCTCACTCGAAACTACCATTCCCGCATTAGCAAGGATCTGTTCTTGTACTGGTTTGAAGGCATTTGGATGAGCTTTGACAGGTAACTGGGTATGAGCATGTCGTGTAAAGAAACACTTGCTTTGGTAATCTATTTCATGCAGATATGACACCTCCATCCATATAAATTATATTCATAATGATAAATATTTGATGAACAAAATATCTACTGCATTGGATAAAAGGACCAAATAGAGCTCAACCCTTTTTTTGTCTTGTGCTGCAAATCTTCTACAGGAACATAAGTTTGTACATGTTTGATTGTGAATTTCAGGTCGTGCATAAAATTGTTTAACAGTATTTGTTATATCATGCAGATATAGTTTAGTCTAACATTTTTTTCAGTCTTATTCTGCATTTTGTTCAATGGGTTTAAGCTTTTAAGTGTGGACTGAAGAATAACTCTCTTATCATTTCTAAGAGATGTATGGCAATAAAACACAGAATGATGCAAACTTCTCTTAGAGAACGCTAAACTATACTTGCTGGTACATGACAAACCTCAAATAACACAAAACACCAAAATACTATTTCATTCATGCCATTAGATATCCATCCTTCCATCATTCCACCTGTAAAATTTTGCTGAATGGCCCTAAATCTGGCGAATTTCTGTCTTCCCTTGGCAGTATGCTAACCTTGTGATTTCTACCATTCATTCAGCCTCTTGACTATGAGACAAGGTTGTTTTCATGGGTGTCTCTTTGGCTGATATTTGAAGTGATCTAAGAGCTTTATCGTATTGATATCATTTTCTATCTCTTCTCTAATTCTTCTTTGCACATTTCCGTGGAAAATATCTTATCCTTGTGTTTTTTATTGCCTTTCGATCTCTGATCAGGTGATATATCTTCATTTAACTGGACAATGTATACTTAGGGGGTGTTTGGATAACCCCATAATCACTTTTTAGAAGTACTTTTCCGCAAATCGAGACAAACTTCTTCACATATTTATTTCGTATACCGTAAAAGCACTTCTGAAACTATGGTTTTGTTCTTACCCAAACACCCTCTTAATTTGGTTGACAACTGACGGTTGATAATTTGCTGGTTTTGGGTTGCTTGTTTTCTTTGAACAATTATTTGCATAGTTTGAGTTGAATATCTGTTCATGCATGAATGAGACTTTTTTTATGGGGATAGAATTTTCATGATCATTACTGGATTAACATATACCGTTGCAGAATTCTGAATTCTGCAAATCTGGAGCGTGCTTATGATGGATTGTTGTGGACCCTGCGGTATGCTGCTATGATCGACAAATTTTTTTTTTCTTTACAGTGTTTTCCTGTTTGGCAAGGTCATATGCATGATCACAAGAGCACATGACCACAAGAGCGTGGTGCTTGTGCACTTTAGGTCTAGGAGTTTATTCCCTTTTCTTTTAATGATATATTTTTCATTATTGTGGTTCATTTTAAATACTTAGTATTATGTACTCTGGCTGGTCTCTAAACACAGTGAATTCGTGTCTGTTTTCTCGTATCTATAGGTGTTTGCAGGAGCTTTCCTTGGTCCTGTTGCATCCAAACAAAATGCTGGAGATCTCATCTACGCCATCTTCTACCTTAAATGAGGTCTCTCTCTCTTTCTTTAGTTTATTTGTTTGTTTTTAAATGCATGCCAAGCTCGAATATCTCTTATTCCAGCATTTTATTTAGAAAAGAGTTTGGTTTTTGAGTTGAAATTGAAGGTGAATAAGATAATTGCTCATTCATTTTTATATTCCTGGGAGGTGAGGTCGTTATAGAATAAGCTCTTTGGGATCCTTGATAGTTGATAGGTCAATTTGATTATTGTTCACTGATCAGTGCTTTTTGTTAAAAATTGATGAATTCTGAGAGAAAAATGTATATCTTAATAATCTGAATGGTAAGATACACCAAATATATTGGCCAAAGGAAAGACGAGAGTAAAGGCTAATAAATGCCAATAAAACTGTACAATCAGATAATATTTACAACAAAAACGAGATATTCCCAGAAAAGTGATGATGTATTATTCTTTCTTGTTATTCTTTTTCCTTCTAATTGAATATTTTCATTAATAAAATTGCCGAGAAGTTTTTTTTGGGACTGGTATTATGTATCTCAACTATTTATTGACCTGGGATTTTTTTTTTTGGGGAATTGGCCACGTTGAGCATTGAAATAATGAAGAGATCCTTACTGAAGAAAAAGTGGATGGAAAATTGTTGAGGAGACAAAATTGCTGTTTCTGTATCTCTGATTTATGCTAATCGAAAATTCTGAATAATCTTTTTTTCAAACCCAAAGTTCTCACTAAAGGAAAAAAACATATTACTCCCTCCGGTTCTATACATAGGTCACATTCTAGGAAAAAATAATTTCTCAATTTGTCCTTATTAAATGTATCATCTTTAAAAACACTTATCTCTCTCATGCAACCTCTTAACCTGCTCATAAATTGCAAAAGGGTAACATTGATAGAAAGTAATTAATAGCCTATCTTTTTATGCAAAGTGACCTATATATAGGACCAGAAGGAGTACTTAGTAACCGAACTCTAGTAGTTAGAGACTTGTTAAGTTCATTGAAGAAAAAGGCAATGAGAATTTCCTGCACCGATAAGAATATTTCTCCTACATGTCTATTTCTCCGTCCAATTTATGTGTTGAAATTTGTGAAGAATCTTTCATCCGAATCCAAAATTGAATATCTGTCTGTTGTCGCTGTTGCTGAGCTAGGTCACTTATCAGTAAAACCTATATGGAAAATCACTCTATTATTGGATTGGTTGATGGTTGATTACTTTGTCGGGCTGCTATTTTTTTGTTGTTGTGGGTGCTTTAACTTGCTCGGACCAATTATTGCAGTTCGTTAATGGCTGGCAACTAATCTGGAGCACCACAGTGCATGGGTTGCCAATATACAGCAATATAACTACTATTGTAATTTTTCTTCCAAATTTGATTATTTATTTAATGCCTGTTGCATAGCTTCTTTCTTTCTAATCTTCTGTTTACATTGTGATTTTAATGAAGGTTGATGCTGCTTTGTTACTTCTTGGTAACTTAACCTCCAATGTGAGTACAGGATTATACACAATGGGGGATGTCAGCAATAACGAAATCTGATATTAGATTTACTTTCTTCTGTCCAGGATCTAATAAATGCATGTGTGATACCTCAAGATGTTTGGGATCTACAATTATTTAAAAGGCCACCATCAATGTAAGTTATCCTTTTTTCCTCTCACATTAAGAAGGTTTGAACCTTGGACCTTTTCCACAACCCATCCATCAGTTGCCACTCAAGCTAACTTCAGGCGGCTCCAATGTAAATTACTTTAATCATAATTGTATCCCTGAAAATATAACTTATAGATTGTTACTTAAAAACTGTTTTACGTTCCAAAATTTTTACTCAATTTTCAATTTGGATCTTATAGTTTAAACATTGTTATTGTGCTGTTGGTTTTATGTGGACGTGGCCTGCCAGTTATTAATGGTTTATGCCAAATTATCTAGCCCCTTAACCAAGGTGTTATTGTCACGCCAAATATTTTAAAACGAGGTGGAGGAAAATTTTTTAAAACTTAAAACCTTGCTTTATGTAAACATGTAGAGGAATTATGAGCTTCGTGAAACATTTCTAATTCTAAACCCATAAGGATCCCGCAAAACTTAAAAACTGACCCAAAGAACATCTGATGTGCAAATACTTGGTGCAAAAGACACGTAATAATGCCTGAGATTCGACTACAAAATTTCCTTATCTTGCGAACACACCTGTCATTCAACACTTGCACCAGAGAGCTGCTTCACTGCAGTGAAGTATGGCGGTCCTTAAAACAGGTTTTTCTGCAATTTTAACCCTGTTTCTGAAACCCATATCTTGAGCTACGAGCTTTTGGTTTCAGTGATTTCAAAGCCTATGGCTCATATTTAACCTCTTCTAACTATTAGTATCTACCGTGCGTCAAAATTCAACAATATGAATCAAATGGAACATCAAAACCCAGAATTCAACCATAGTCAAAATGCGGACACGTTAGTTTTCATTTCAGAAATCACTTTTCAAGCATCTTAAGAAATATGGACCTAGTAATTAAATTTGTAAAATGATTAACATTTATTTGTTATATTATAATTTTAGTGCATAAAATCTGACATGCCCGCATATATTTAATTATGATGTATACGATCAGTATCAGGGTTTCAATACAATTGGACTGACGAACCATGATTGAATGCTTTTGCCTTCTTAGTGATTGGTATGGTTGCAAGTCATTCTTAAACAAATAAAACAGAAGCATATCATTCAAGTCACCCAACAAACTCAATTATATATTCTTTATGGGTCTATTAATGTCTTGAATTCATTTGCATGCATGTATACCATAAACTTACCACCAAATTAAATTGGGCTGTCAAATTCTTGATATGTTTTAGAAGCTAATTGCCGGTCCTCGGTTCATATAGACCTGAAAATATAGAGATGCACAGGCACTGTGGCTTCAAAGAGAAAAACAGATACACATTATTCTCTGTATATTTTATTATATTTCTGTCATTATTGCTGTATTCATTTTAGGAGCATAATTTACTTTATGCGCAGGTCAACCCTGTATTTCTTCGTATGTTACTTTTTGAGGAAGAATTCTCATGTGAGTTGTTCAGTATCTTCTTCTTCTTCTTTTTGCCCTCTTCATGACATCTGCTTACTTGATGTTTGGATTATTAGTTCTCTCAAAAGCTTAATAAAATACAGAATAACTTCTGTTGTCTAGATTGTGAATTCTGTTAAAAAATTGATCTTGCCTGAACATGTATCAATTCTTTTGGGCATGCCCGGGGGGTTTTTGAAAGTGATTCTGGCCTCCGAATTAAGTATTGCCAAGTAAGCAAAAGTTCCAGAAGTAATATGTCTCTAGTTATGCAACAAAAAAGTAGTATGCTTTCTACATTTTTTTTGGTAGAATAAATGTGCATTTTTTGGTGCCCATTTCATGCTTTAATGTCCCTGTTGGGTCCATCATATTTGCCATCTCCATGTTATGCAGATTGACCTCCGAGATATTTTGTATTTAAGGAAGAACCTTCTGAGAGCAGCTTTGAGCCATCTTAATTGGAAGGTGTGATTGCTTTTAATAATCATACAAATTACTTTAGTCCTTTATTTTGTTTATTACAATATGCAACCCTGTGTGAATATTGTGTGTTCTCCTTTTATTCAATGCAGGGACCTGTAACATTAAATGAACAGATGGTTTTATTGCTCCCTACTGCTGTGTATGCTCTTTGTACTGGTCATGCTCCTTTTACAAAATTCTTTAAAGATTTTCCTTTGTTGTCCTACTCTTTGGATATTGCTGAGGCTCTAGATGACTGTCATAAGGTGAGGCTTAATCACTCTTTCCTACTGCCTGCTGCCTTTGTTTTTGTTTTTTTTCCCCCCATTATTTCACTCTATGTCTTCCCTAAGAAACGGAATTTTGCTAGATGGAAAACCCTAAACTCCAGAGTCTACATGATTTTTTGGATTGCTCTGTGGAAGCTCTAACCAAGATTGACAGCGGTTCTAAAGTTGAGGTGGATATCTGTCAGTTTATGCAAGTCTTATGCGTTATATGAATTTGAATAGCCCAATTATCCATTTTCAGGTTTCCCAACCGCTAAATAATCATCTAGTACATCTTCCTCGGGAAATACGTGATCAGCTATTGCTTGAAATGGAGACCTCCATTCTTGGCTCTCTAGTGACAGAGGAGATTAAAGAGAGACAATTACCTGATGTTTTCTTCTTTTGTTCTCTTGTGGCAATTAAACTTACTCTGGGTCATTTTCCGCTTGGTTAGTCATGTTATAGTCATCTTCAATCTATTACTATTATTTTTGGTTCAAGGTTCTGGTTTATATGCCTCTGTCAGTTGCCCATTTTCTTATTCAGGGTGATTGTTCCGTTGCTTTGGCTCTACTTGTTATATTTTGGATTAATGCCTCGTGTTAACCCTGAATATGTGGAATTATGTTGTGGGAGGGTTCCACATCCCACGTGGGTATATAGAGGCGGGGAAACAAACCTGCTTAAATACCTCATGAGAGCGTCACATGCTGTTCAATGTGGAGCTTAGACATCCCATAATACCATAGCTTCCGTTAGCAACATTGGACATCTTATATTTGGGATGCCAATATATTTTTACCATGCATCATGGCTTACTATCATCCAGTTGGGCTTTATAGCTTTTTGCATAA